CTTTTTCTGTCTATTTCTTTTTCTGTGTCAAGGACAGGTTCTATAGGGTCTATAGGGTCTCATTACATAGATTGGACTTGTAGTGATTCTCCTGTTTTCAGCCTCCCAAGTGCTGGGATTATAGGCGTGCACTACCGTACCCAGTCTCAGGGTGCCCCGAGGGCGGGGCTGGCGTGGCATGCTACGGATCAAACCTGGGCCCTCACACTGCAAAAGCAGGTGCTTTAGTCCACTGAGCTATCAGGCTGGCCCTTTGTGTATGATTTAAATTACTATCTATAATACATTGTGGATTGACCCATAACATATAGGAACTGACCTATTTTGGATTTGAAATGTTTTTAAAGTTTATAATGCTTAATTTCAACAGCATGAAACGTGATTTTGTAGCAACAAAGGAAGTGTGATATGGTACAGTAAAAAATAAATGAGTTTGAAAAATGTACATGGAGCTGGGCATGGTGGCAGGTGCCTGTAATCCCAGCACTCAGGAGGCTGAAGCAGGAGGATCACTACAAGTTTAAGGCCAGCCTGGGCTACCAAGTGTGTTCAAGGCCAGACTGAACTAACCTTGTCTCAAAAGAAGAAGAGGAAAAGGAAGAAGAAAGAGAGGAGGAGGAGGAGAAAGAAAAGTTCACATGGAAAGCATAAAGTATAACACTACATACCACAATGGTATGTAGACTGAAATTTAAAATACTAGTAATTCCAAGTAGTAGTGAAACTGAGGAATGACTGAAATTCATACATTGCTGATGAGGGTATGAATTGGTGTAGTTGCTTTGGAAAAGTCTCTGGTGTTGTCTAGTATAGTTTAAAATATGCTGAATCTGTAACTCAATAATAATATCCCAAAAGATAAGGTTTTGTTTGTTTTTGAGGCAAGCTATTGCTGTGTGGTTTAGGCTGCCCTTAAACTCACTAGGCTGGCCTTGAACTAGCACTCAGCCTCCCGAGTGTTGAGATTACTACCATGTCAGGCAGAAATAAGTTCTTAATGTCTATCAAAGGTACATATAAGGTTGCTTTTAACTGCTTTTTTTCATAATAGCCCAAACATGGAAACAGTCCAGGTATGTATCAATAAAAGAATGAATAAATATGGTATTTCCATTGAATGGGAAAAGAAAAACTTTTATCTAAAACCAATTATATAAATATTATTTTGTACAAAAGAAATTACATGCAAACAATATATGATGCATTATTTTGTTTAAATGAAATTCAACAGTAAAAAGCTAATCTGATAATAGAAATCAGAATGGTGCTTCAGATGTCATGATCATTAATTGAGAAGGAACCTTCTGTGATGCTACACAGTCTCATTTAAAGATAAACTTTAATTACATATGAATTTCCTGTGTTTTTGTATTTTATTTTCATGCAGATTTTTTTTTTTTTTTTTTCAGAACTGGGGATTTGACCTCGGGCCCTTGCACTTGCTAGGAAAGCGCTTATTCTACTGAGCTATCACCCCGGCCTCTTGCAGATAATTTTTTTGAGACAGGGTTTTGCTTTGTAGCTCAAGCTGTCCTTGAATTCATTATGTAGCTAAACGTGGCTTCAAATTTGCAGCAATCCTCTTGCCCCAGCCTCCCAAGGGCTGGGATCACAGGTGCGTGTCGCTGCGCTCAGCTCATGCAAATAATTTTCTAATGGAACTCAGAATATGTAGTGAACAGTAAGTACATGGGTGGTTTCCAGATTACGTTTTTGCTACTTAATTATTTGACTCTGAGATCTGTTTTCTACCTGCAAATGAGAATAATATCTGCATCTAGCAGAGATTTTTTGTTTCTGTTGTCTACTATAATACCCATTTTTCTAAGTAACAGAACCCATCTTTTAAAGCTGAGTATCACAGAATAGAAGAATAGAAGATTTTATTTGCTAGCTTTGTTTTCATTTAGTATACATGGGCTGGGGAGATGGCTCAGTGGAATAAGCGCTTCCCTGGCAAGCACAAGGGCCTGAGTTCAATCCCCAGTTCCACAAAAAAACCCCAAAACAAATCAAAACCCTCATTTAGTATACATGAGTATGTTCTGGTCAGTGAGCCATAAATTACACCAGTGTTACATGAGACTTAGAGGAAGGCTACTTAGATGTAGCTGTTTTTCTCCTTTCTGCTGCCTGGAACGTGGGTGTAGTACTGGAGCTCCAGTAGCCACGATGGACACTGAAGTGATGGCATGGCAGGTGTTGTTGCTGCTCACAGAGGCCCACCCAGGGTGGGGACCTTGGACCCGATAGCTTGTTACACACTTTATTTTGTGGTACAAGGGGTCAAACTTGGCACCTTGCACTTTCCAGGCAGGCACTTATGCCGCTGAGCTATGCCTGGCCCTTAAACACTTTTTAAGAAAAGTCAGAAAACCAAACATCTGTAAAGGTTAAACTTGCTATTTTCACTTTCTGTTAAGTCTGACCAAACAACCCTAATTGCAGAGAGATACTATGAAAATGGGGTGACTGAAGGGACTGGTGTGTAGCAGGTATTTAATACAGCTTAACTGCTCTTACTCCTGTTTTAAATTTCATAATGCCATATATGGATGATCTAGAAAATATTTTGATGTATATATTTAAAATCACTTGTACAGGTAAAGACAAAGCTGAAAACAAAAACTCATCTATAATTCGATTACTGAAAGATCAAAATTGGCATTTTGATGCATGTCCATAGTAACTATAAATTTTATGTATTTCTTTATATAGATTCTTTAAAAATAAGCTCTGACAAAGGTTTTTTTTTTTTTTTTTTTCTGGCTCAGGCTGCTTTAAGGGCGTGTCTGCTGTGACATGTGGAGCTTGGGATCGAACTGTGGTCCCCCGCACCTGACTGAGTTTGCCAAATCAAGTACTTTAAACAACTGAGCTAATTGGCAAGGACCCCCACCCCTGACAAAGTTTGTTAAACAAAAGTTTTGTGCCTGTAATACCAGCACTTGGGAGACTGAAAACAGGAGAATCACTGTGAGTCCAATCTGTGTAATGAGACCCTGTAGATCTGTACTAAACACATTTTAAAAAAAATTGGTGTTGGGCATGATGGCACACACCTGTAATACCAGCATTTGGGAGGCTGAGGCAGGAGAGTTGCTGTGAATGTGGTGGTACATGTCTGTAATCAGACCAAACATGGAAAGAAATGCACTGAGAAGGTTTAGGAGGTAGTTTATTTACATCTATGGGCTTGACTGGAATCAGTCCCAAAGAGTCAGCCGGTGGGGTTTTGGGAGTTTTATAGGGAGAACAAGCATGATGGTATAAAGGCAGATTTGGTGCATTTTGATTGGGGGAATATGATTGGGGGTTGGGAGACAGCATGGGTTGCTAAGGGAGGCTAAACATCTTGAGCTACATTGCAAGGCCATCAGTTGAGCAAGTATCAGTTACACAAAGGATGAAGTGTCCCCTTATATATGAAATTACATTGCAAGGCCATCAGTTAAAAAAGGCATTAAAGACGGGTTTGCACAAAGGAAAGTGTTGTGTTTTTGGGCCTGCTGGGCATGTTGCTTGGTCTTGGTGGGCATCCTGGGAAGGCCTTTATTTAAAAATTTTAATTTCTCCTTTCAATGAGTTTAAGGCAGCATGGACTACACAGTGAGACCCTATCTAAAAAGGGAGTGAGTTGGATTTGGTGATGCACATCTGTAATCTGAGCACATGGGAAGCTGAGGCAAGAGGAGTGCCAGGAATTCAAGGCCAGCCTGGGCTACATAGTGAGTCCTAAATTTTGCATGGTTTACATTTGACCAATGTCTTCTGGCGTTCTTCTAATGATACCAGAACTACTTGGATTCCCTTTGTTCGTACTCTGCAGTATTTTCTGCATACTGTATATGATTCAGTATTATTGTCACTGTGTGATAGACAGCAGTCTGAGCCAAGACGGCATGGTGCTCTGTTTCGGATTTACTCAGGCTGGG